GTCGGCAAGAAAATGTTACATAGATTTCTAAATTGGCAATACTATAATGTACAGTAGCTACAGATAAAAACTTCCTGCACTCTTCTTGTTAGTCGGCAAGAAAATGTTACATCGATTTCTAAATTGCCAATACTATAATGTACAGTAGCTACAGATAAAAACTTCCTGCACTCTTGTTGTTAGTCAGCAAGAAAATGTTACATCGATTTCTAAATTGGTAATACTATGATGTACAGTATCCATAGACACACAAATCCTGTACTTTGCTAGCTATTCTACAGGCAAATGTTGCGAAGTTTGTCTATTTCTTCCTAAAACCGTGAATAATATTAAAAAAAAAAACTCGTACATTTTTCTTGCTATGCACCAGAAAATGCTTCACATTTATTACTAAAACTATGTGTACAGCCGAAAGTCTCCTACAACCTGCTAACTAATGTTGCAAAGCTTACGAAATTAGTTACTAAAAGTGCATCTGAGGACAAAAAAATCTATATCTGTTTACTATACATAATAAAATGTTACGAAGTTTATATTTCACCTTCAGTCAAGGTGCCTTTCAAATAAATTAGATACATGAAAACGAATCAAACAATCATGTAGCAGAACTTTATCGACAAGCGATAAAAATAAAATTATTCCCAAACTTATGCGAACAATATAATAAAATTCGAAGTTAATCTACACTAGGTAATGATAAATACAATTGTTCTGTAATATTATAAACTTAAATATGGGATAAATTTTATTTTGTAAAAGGTTTGTCTGTCTACTCCAACGCAAAACTATCTAATCAATTTGCTCCATGACAACTGCAGGGATCGAGCCCCGAATTCTAGCGTTGTAAGCCCTCACTCATACCTTTGTACCAGCGGGGTACTCCTGTAAAAGTACCTAAATAACTAAAGAATATTGATGTTTACCTAGAGCTTTAATAGTTTCGTATTAGCTAAAATATATATATATATATATTGAAAAAAAAATACGGAGAATACATGGTTCTGTTATTAGAACTCTAAATTTCCAGAGAGAGAGAGGTTAACACCTAGAACATAATACTAGATGATTGATTTCAGGTTTTGAATGTTTAGAACAATACACACCAGTTTTTATATTATGTTTTAGTTTGGATCTTTTACAGACATATGCTAGTTAAAAACAAACAAACAGTGTAATCTACAAGCTTTGTTTGTATGCCATCAATTTTAACCAAAGTACTTACAATAAAGTAGGGAAGCTGATACTGATTTTTTCTCTCTTTCTTTCGGTTAATAACAGTTATCGAAGTGAATTAAAAATCTATTTGATTTCAGGTTCTCTTCACTTTAGTTTCCCTCGATATCGTGTTTACGCCAAGTTACTCGTCTTGGGTAACTTCAGCTCGACATCATAGGCTAGTTTACTTTCTATCCTACACAGCTGAAAAAACAACAACAAATAAATAAAATAGACATCGTCACAACTAAAAGAATGTCTCGAAGACCTAATAATAAATGTTTCATTAGCAAAACCAAGCAGAAATCACGTCTTTCAATGTTTTTATAACAACGTGGCCATTTAAAGACAAGACCATATCTGTGGACTGGTGTCTTGAAGTATGGTTCTTTAAAATCTTCAGCAGTAAAAATGACACAGAATTTCAGATTGGACATCGGTGGTTGTTCTGCTGTAAAACTCAGCTACAATCGCATTGTAAAGATACGTAATTTTACAAGGGACAGTAGTTTATGCCGCTGTTGTATCACGAGGTAATAATTTCTGAGTTTCTTAAAGAAACTTAGTTTCAAGACACTTGTTATAAAGCAAGTTAATAATACCTAGTTCAGTTCTTACAGTAATAGGATCACTACAGTTCTACTAAAGAAGTTTCTTCAGTTCGTTGGTGTAAAAATGATATATTCATATAAAACAAGGTAAA